ATCAGACAGATCCAAGAACAGTAATATCTTTAAACAATAAGATATTGAACCTTGTAAGCCAGAAGAAGTTTGGTTGCCCTTTCTTCAACTAAAAGGTAAAGGTTCCCCTCGCACATATGTGCTAGTCGTTCCCAACTCTAGGGGGCGGTGCTCATCTCCGTTTCAAAACCGAAGAGCCAGCGCTGTCTGAAGACGTCTCCGTGGTCATGTGGCCGGCATGACTAAACACCAAAGATGCACGGAATGCTGTTACCTTCCCACCAAAGGTGGTCCCTATTTTTCTCCTTGCATTTTTTACGTGCTTTCAAACTGCTAGGTTGGCAGAAGCTGGGACAAGTAACGGGAGTTCACTCTGTTACGCAGCACTAGGGATTCGAACCGCTGAACTGCCGACCTTTCGATCAACAAGCCCAGCATCTTAGCCACTGAGCCACCAAACTTCTTTAATTTTTCACTTCCTTACACAAGCATATCTTTTCTACAATGGCCCCAAATAATACAATAGCTCCTTGCTTACAGCTGGCAGTTTATCTCCATTCTCTCTGTCTCTTCTCCGCGTAGAATTGAACAATCTCCTTAAAGGTGCAGTACATTCCCAAAACACTACACATATTTAGACAAACCAGCTCTCCCCCTCTTTTGGCAACATGGATCACCGCAACAACTATCTCTGCAAAGTCTCAAACATCCAGTTTTCTGAATCTTTAATCTGCTTTTTTTCTCTCTCTCTTCTCAGCCTCGATCCTCTGCACAGCCAATCCACTGTGCAATTTCTTGGCCGATAAAATTTGCCAGCCTACTTTTCTCCACATGATGGCCACAGGTGCCAACTAATCTTCTGAATCTTTTTATCCCATCCAAATTTTCCCCTCTCCCTTTTCTTTCTTTTTTATTTTAGCTACAGGGAGTTGAATTTCAGCTGGGCAAAACAATGCAGAGAGAAAAGCCTTTTGCTCCCCCACCCCCCTATTTTTACCTCTTACAAATAAATCAACTTTCTCCTTTAATTGAAACTCTGTTTCTTATTCCTTTTACCTCCTAAGGGCGCCTTTTACTAAACCAAGCTTGGGGATTTCTCTTTGCCTCTTCCTTATTTCTCAATTTTACTGAAATCAGCTAAGGTACATTAAAAAATTTTTTAAAAGCCTGTGGAGCAAGCACCAAGTATGCAGCTTGAAGCTCAGGCAAAATTTCCAGATATTGCTCATTGCCACTTCTTGTGGCACCCAAAGACCTTTCCGGTAGCACGTGACTAAGTCATCTCTACGTATGTCGAAACATTATTTATTATTTATTTATTTATTATTAGTCCAATTTATATGCCGCCCTTCTCCGTAGACTCAGGGCTGCTTACAATGCATTATAGCAATAGCCTGCATACTTTTATGTATATACCTACTTATTAGAGCTTTCGGCCCCCCCTAAGCGGTGTTGTTCTATACAAAGCTGGCTTATTGCCCCCACAATCCGGGTCCTCAATTTACCTACCTCGAAAGGATGGAAGGCTGAGTCAACCTTGAGCCTGGTGAGATTTGAACTCGCACTAATTGCAGGCAGCTGGCAGCTAAGTGCTAGCACTTAACAGCACTTAGTCCGCTGCACCACTGAGGCTCTTATAATTAGCAGCATTCTTGAAATCCCTCAGGTCTTTATAAAAACAGGTGTCAAGGTTCCAAGTAATACATTCCCTTCAATAACATGGAGGCAGGCATATTCCTGAAAGAACATTTTATTAGGACGTATCAAATTGGCACAGCCTTGGTGGAAAACCGGCTCTAAGTTTCCACTGGCTCTACACCCAAGTAAAAGTAAAAATTTGTCACTTCCTCCCAGAGTCTCTATTCACATGGTCCAATCAGCATGTGGTCCAGTTGCTAGGTGACATCAGTCTCCACCTCTCGAACACCTGCACAAAAGTCCTTGATTCCCAGGGAAAAGAATTTTATTTAGGCTACAAACCCCAGCTATCTCTACACCACCCTCCCTGGCCCCTTAGCTCCAGGCTGTGTCAGCCCTGAAGCAATGCGGAGAGATACCTCCTTAGAGGAAACCTACAAGCAGAAAATGGCCAGTTAAGCCAGCTTCAGGGTTGACAGCAGGTAGTCCTCATTTACTGACTACCTCATACATCAGGGGTGTCAAATACACGGCCCATGGGCCAGATATAGTCCTCTCGTCTGGACTATTGTAATGCTCTCTACATGGGGCTCCCCTTGAGGTGCACTCAGAGGCTCCAACTGGCGCAGAGTGCGTCCGTGCGCGTGGTTATGGGAGCGACGTGGAGCTCCCATGTAACACCTCTCCTGCACGAGCTGCATTGGCTCCTGGTGGTCTTCCGAGTGCGCTTCAAGGTTCTGGTTATCACCTTTAAAGCGCTCCATGGCTTAGGACCTGGTTATCTATGGCACCGCCTGCTACCACCAATAGCCTCCCACCGGCCAGCACGCTCCCATAGAGAGGGGCTCCTCTGGGTGCCGTCGGCCAAACAATGTCGACTGGTGGCCCCTAGGGGGAGAGCCTTCTCTGTGGGGGCACCTACGATCTGGAACGAGCTCCCCCCGGAGATACGGAGGATCCCGGATCTGCGCACCTTCCGTTGAGCACTTAAAACTTTTTTATTTCATCAAGCTGGCCTGGCCTAAATCTTCTCCCCTTTTAAATTTAAATTTTAAATACAAATTTTAATCTGTTTAAATTATGGGGTATTTTAAATTCAGACAAATTATTTAATCCGTTTTTAATCTATTTTAAATTTTTGTATTTCTGTGTTTTATCTTCTGGCTGTTCACCGCCCTGAGTCCTTCGGGAGAAGGGCGGTATAGAAATTTAATTAATTAATTAATTAATTAATTAAATAAATAAATAAATAAATAAATAAATAAATAAATAAATAAATAAATAAATAAATAAATAAATAAATATGGCCCACACAGGCCATACCCGCCCTGGCTCTGCAAGGGCAAAAACAATCCCGATACATCACGATACGGCCTGCGATGAGATCGGGTTTGACACCCCTGTTGTACAACATCCAATCCTCTAGTGGAGTGCAGTGGCTCATGTGGTTAGAATACTGGGTTGACAATCAGCAGTCCCACGTTCAAGACCCGGGTGCTGGTGTGTGATGGAGTGAGTTCCCATCATTTGCTCCAGTTTCTGCAAATTTAGCAGTTCAAAAGCAAGCAATCGCAAGTAGATAGATAGGTACCACTTTGGTGGGCTCATTAAAGGACATGAAAAGATCATCAATCAGGCATCCACCAAGACAACAGTGATGTCACCAGTTAATCCTTTCAGACTGGAAGTGCCCTGTTGCTTCCGACATGAACACGAGCGCGGACCAATCTTCCCATTTATGACCTTCACAGGTCTGAAATAGTATAGGGCAAGGGTGTCAAAACTCGCAGCCCATGCATGGAATGCATCACACGCTGGCCATGCCCACCCCCATTTTAGCAAAGGGGGGAAAAAGCCGTGATACGTCATGTGACAACGTGACAACACAAGTTTGACACCCCTGGACTAGAAGACCTCCAAGGTCCCTTCCAGCTCTATTCTGATCCTGAGAAGAGAGGACTCATTGGAAAAGACCCTGAGGTTGGAAAAGATGGAAGGCAAAAGGAGAAGAGGACGGCAGATGATGAGATGATTAGATAATGTCATCAACACAACGAACATGAATTTGGACAAGTTCTGGGAGACAGTGGGGGATGGGGGGGCTATCTTACTGTAGTCCATGGGGTCGTAAACTTAGCAACTGAACAACAACAACATAGAGCTGAGGTGGCGCAGTGGTTAGAGTGCAGTACTGCAGCTACTTCAGCTGACTGCTAGTTCAGCAGATCAAATCTCACCGGCTCAAGGTTGACTCAGCCTTCCATCCTTCTGAGGTGGGTAAAATGAGGACCCAGATTGTTGGGGGCAATATGCTATTTAGTATACTGTCGATTGTTGTAAGCCGCCCAGAGTCCTCGGAGAGTGGGCGGCATAGAAATATGATTAATAAAAATAAAATAAATAAATAAACAGCAACCAAAAGACATTTGTGGCTGTGACCATGCATTTGTAGCCCTGGCCTTTTTTGCACATAGAACATTTTTTTTTAACACCTGCCTTCTTAATCTTTTAACAGTCATCTTTTCACAGTTGCCATCTTATTTTAAAAACACACCCAAATGTCCTTGTTTTTACCACGCAATAGTTTTGACTAATTAATCTTTATATGAGTTGTTTTGTTTTGGTTTTTTAGGAAGATATGAACAAACCATACTGGGACTGTAAGAGTTCCCAATTATAATCATACACGCCACACATTACATTCATGTTAATGGTCAGACCGGTACCAGTCAATTTGGACACAACTAGGGCAGAATTCCATAAGCACAACCACAATCTATTTTCTACCCTATGCAAACTAGGTTTTCTTAAGTTGTAGATGATCAGTCCTCTGCAGGATAGAAACCTCAGGTCTATGACAATTCACTATGGCCAACTCTCCACGGCCAACTTGCCATGGCCAACTTGTTGTGGGACAACTTGCCAAGGCCAACTCACCATGGGATAACTCGCCGAGGGACAAATGTTACACTAATATCAAAGAAACAATGGAATAGAATAAAAGAAGGGAGGGACAGAATGAAATGGGAGTGATAAAAATTAAACTATTTTTTTTTATTTATTTTAAATAATTACATTGAATTGATAGGCTCAAGATCCAGATGGATCTTGAGAGACTTGAACACTGAGCCCTATCTAACAAAATGAAATTTAACGTAGAGGAAAGTAAAGTCCTACACGTAGGCAAGAAAAGCCAATAGTACACATATAGACTGGGTGAAACCAGGCTTAATAGCAGTAACTGTGAGAGGGATCTTGGAGTCTTAGTGGACAACCAGTTAAATAGGGTGTGGGGGAGGGGGTTGGACTAGATGATCTACAAGATCCCTTCCAACTCTGCTTAATCTGTTTTTAATCTGTTTTGAATTGTTAAATTGTTCCAGGGTGAGTTGGCTGTGGCGAGCTGGTTGTGGCAAATAGTCTCATTCCAAGAAACCTCTTGATTGAAGGTAATAGGCTGTGATCTCCCATGCTTTTCCAGTGTGGGTTATTAGATAGATTTTATTATTTTTCATTTCCCAGTCTAGTGCTGAGTCTAGAGCAGGGGTTGGCAACCTTAAACACTCAAAGATCCACAAAGGTCCTAATTGGAAGCCCCCCATTCAATTCTGGAGCTGACTGGAAGGCCAGTTTCCCGTCACAGAGTCTCCTCCTAGCGTGGTAGGCTTTTTCCTCTGCTGACTGGAAGTCTGGTTTCCCCACCATAGAGTCTCCTCCTAGCGCAACATCTTTTTTCCTCTGCTGACCAGAACTCCAATTCCCACCACCATAGAATCTCCTCCTAGCACGGCATCCTTTTTTTCCTCTGCCGACCGGAAGTCCGGTTCCCCCACCATAGTCTCCTTCTAGTGCGGTGTCCTATTTCCTCTACCTGTCCTAACCAAAAGCCCTATCAATTGTAGAGCCGACAGGCGACAGGGAGCCGCAGCAGAGGGATGAAAGAGCCACATGTGGCTCCAGAGCCACAGGTTGCCGACCCCTGGTCTAGAGAATGAGTACCCAAAGTCACCCATCTGATTTCTATGCTGAAGAGAGGACTACAGTATAGGTCCTAGTCCCTCACCTTAATCACTGTACCATAGTAATTCTTTCATACGGTATATTGCCAGAAAAAGCAGCATAGAGATATAAATTTCAGCCATACCTATGAGGCAGAAAAATTTCTTTGAAATACTCCAGGGAAGATAAAATTCTCCATCAATTTTTCAAAGGCAGGATTTTCTCTTAGCAACAATGCTGAAAAAGTAATGTGTCGTGTCTTTCATTAGGATTTACTGGAAGAATGGGAAGCCAGGAACGCTGCGGATGACTAGAGAAATTATTTTATAACAAAGATGGAACTCACACAGACCGTTTGGAACCTCGGTATTGAATAGCTTCCAGAAACACACCTTCTGTCCACAACAATGCTTCCAAAATGCTTTGAAAACATTTCTAAAGCTTATTTTCTGTTTTCAAGTTGAATGACAACTAAGGGGGGGTGGGGAAATGTAAAACTACCCAGCACTCCATCTGACTATCAGTGGAGTCAATTGGACTTGGTTGAGAGAATATCAGGTTGAAATCCATATTTATCGACCAAGCTCAGCAAGTGACCAAGGATACATCTCTGGCTGGAATTCACATGAGGAACTAAGCAATAAAGTTCTTTTGGTTTGGGCTTAGCTCCAGCTACAAATCCAGCCGAGATTGTTTGTAAAATGTGATTTATTCCTTTGCATGTTGTGTTAAATTCTTGATCTTATTCAACAAACTATAATTAAAATAATAATGTACTCTGGGAATTTAAATTCTTCTCTCTTGGTCTAACTTACTTTACAAGTTTTCCGATGATAGACTTACTTACTTACTTACTTACTTACTTACTTACTTACTTACTTACTTACTTACTTACTTATTTATTTAAGTTATTGGCCACCCATCCTACCACACAATAACTCTGGGAAGCTTACAATATTACTCCCTGTAACCCCTTAATTTTGGTGTGGAATCGAGGCTGCTGGATGGAGCTGTGCATTTGCTGGCCGGATGCCCTTCCTGATGCCATGTGGAGTTCGCAGATTTATTTATTTTTTATGCACTGTATGAGAGAAACATCTGCAGCTAGGTAGGATTGAATTCTCAACTTTCTGAGTGGGAGGCGAGCGTCTTCACCACTAGGCCACCAGCCGCTCAGGGCAGCTTACAATATGAAAAGAATAAAACTGTATAAAACCAATACACAATACGAATATTTAAAAATATACTCAACACTAACTAAAAGGGAGTAGGATGAGCAGGAGGGGAGGTGGAATCTGTTATTAGTATATCAACTACCCTCAATATGAAGCCTTCCCCATTGGAGTTCCAAGCCAACTGGCAAAGTCAAGTCTTTAAGCTCTCGTGAAAAATCAGGAGGGTTGGAGCCAACCTTACTCCAAGAGGCAAGTCGCTCAAATTCTTAGAAGTCATATAGGAAACAAAATAAGGCAAGTGTTACCTAACATTGTTCTAATTCAAAACAGAGGGAAGTTCAGATTCTATCTTTGTATAAATTGAAGCCACACCTATACATAGACCAAAACCTATTTTCGTAGGACTGAAATTCCATTCCGTTTATCCAAATGTTAATTGGATCCCCAGGTTTCATTATTTCCCCAAAGGACAGGTCAAAGGTGCATTATATTCAGAGGTGTTATTCAGCTGGTCCGGACCGGTTTGGGTGAATTGATAGCAGCGACTGCGGGTGGGCCTGCCCACCTGCCCGGAGGTAATGCCGTCCTATTTAGCCACATTTTTGAGACCGGGCGCATGCACGAAAGGCACACACGCAAGCCTTCCGTGCATGTTTGGAAGGCTGGGCGCATGTGCGGAAGGCATGCATGCACGAGCGAAGCGAGCATGCATGCACACGGCGAACCGGTGGCAACAATATGTGAAACCAGCCCCTGATTATATTGGAGCAAATGGGGTTGAACAGGACATATCAAAGGCTTTCTTCACTGACTCAGTTTACCCAGTGTTATCATCTGGTCATTATTTCCTGTGTTACTAGGTTAGACACGAGCATTTATTCAAGAGCCCAAAGTAGTGGCTGAATAAATTCTAATCTTATGAATAACTCATGAGCCTTCATTTCTCAATGTTTCTCCTGTCAGTTAAAAGCCAGAAAGACTTTTGCTAATAAATGGGATTAAAACACACATGCACTCACACACACACACACACACACACACACACACACACATGCAAAACCCCTGAGTACTATTATTTTTGACAACAGTGAAAAATTCACAATGAGGATATGACTTTGGAGTTAGCACTATTTTGTTTTTAGCAATACATGGACACATTGTTAACATGCAAATGGTGATATTGGGTAGGAATCAGTGGTGGGTTCCTCCCGGTTCCGCCCAGTTCCGCCGAGCCAGTAGCGGTGACGATATGACATCACCGAACCGGTTCTGCCCTCCTGGGCCTCCGCTCCCCTCACCCTCCGCATTATTCTTACCTTTTATTTGGCCCCACCCCCAATCTATTGCTGCTTCCTGAGTCCCAGCTGATGGCTAGAGGGAAAAAAACTGTTTAAACTCTTGCCGCGGGGCTTCAAAGGGCCGCCCTACAGCTGATCAGTGTTAAAAGAAAACAAATAAGTAGACCGGTGCCTGCAAAAATAAATGGGTAGACCAGTGCCTGCAAAAATAAATGGGTAGATCGGTACAGACTGGTAGACCAGTACCTCTGCTAAATCCTAAGTAATTGTCATATGACTATCAAGCCACGCCCACAAAATAAGCCACGCCCACAGAACCGGTAGGAAAAAAATTTAGAACCCACCCCTGGTAGGAATTTTCCTCTGCTGCGGTGACCAAAACTGGATGCAGTACTCTAGGTGTGGTCTTACTAAGGCTTTATAGAGTGGTATTAGTGCCTCACTTGATCTTGATTGTATCTCTCTGTTAGTGCAATTTAGGATTGCATTGGCTTTTTTGTCTGCCACCGCACACTGCTGGCTCATATTCTTCCTAGTACAAGGTAGATTTTTTTGAAGCTAGTTTCATACATATGTAAATCAGAGATGGGCTTCACATACCATAGCAACCAGTTCATCCAGCACCGGAAATGTGAGTGTGTGCACAAAACAGGGCAATTTGTTCATGCGCGCTGCCCGCACATACGTGCAACGTCAAACAACACGGCAATTTGCTCACGCGCGCCATCCGCACATACATGTGGCATCAAAAACACAGCAATATAGGAAGGAATTGCACCTGGGCAGGTGGGGGGTCGCTTGAACAGAAGATTTTTCAGTCCTATCAAATAATAGAAAAAGAGATTAACTAAGCATCCCATTTCTCAAAAAAGTCTTTCACAGTTAACTTTGAATTGAAGTTTAGATGTTATAAGTTACAAAATGAATTGGTACCGTGCCTTCCTCCAAAATAAGACCCTGTCTTATATTTTTTTGAATCCTGAATAATAAGCGCTTGACCTTATTTTTGGGGAGGTCTTATTATTTTGGGGCGCGTGGAGCAAGATGGGGCTGCTCTTGCTGTCCTACCTGATTTCCAGCTCTGCGTTTAAATATTTTTGAGGAGGACTTATTTTCGGGGCGAGGGAGTCTTATTTCAGCGCATGTGCTCAAAAGCCCGATTGGGCTTATTATCAGGGGATGTCTTATTTTTGGGGAAACAGGGTATAAATCTTTAGATAGATAAAGTCTATATTGGTCCCAACTCAACTCTGTGAGGAAGAAAATTCATAATCAGATATTACCAGTGAAAAGGTCCTATGCTACATATCTATAGTATCTATAGCTACCAATGGTGGAACACAGTGAAAATATCATCCCTGGCAGATCTAAATAAAGAAAGAATTCCTAAAATCTTGTACTAAATGAACAGCAAGTGATATTGTTATGGTGATGAGTTATTTTTGTCAATGTTGTGATATGTTGGCAAGGAAACCCATTATCTGTTTCTTGGGATCTACAAATAAAACAAAGAAATAGATGGAAATTGACCAAGACCAGGCTAATCCACAGAGAAGTGTTACTTGTTGTGTGATCCATAATATATTCAACTGAAATGCAATGTGTTAGCAATGATGACAAATTTTAAATAAAAATTGTCTCTTTATGCTTGGTTTGCAAAAGCTGCTTTGTGAATTTATATTACTTTATACATGACTACTTTATACAGGACTCACGTAGTCATCCCTAAATTCTAAAGATTTCTATAGAAACTAACCCAATTCAAATAGGGGAAAAATGCCATTATCTGTAGCAACTATCTTCAATATGAAGTCTTTTAGATAACCAGTTTTGGGTGTTGCAATGGCAACATCTCTGGAAGGCACAATATAGAAAAGGCTGATGCCTGCCAGCAGGAGAGATGAACAAATCTGGGATGGATCAGACAGTAAGTAATTTATTTTTATAATAAATAAATAAATTATTACTGAAATTATTTCTATTAGTTCTGATTGTGTATAATATTCTGTCCATTTGGTTGTTTGCTAACCAATTCTGCTAAAGTCACAGCCATGGTTGTCCCAAAGGTGCTTTTTTTTCCAAGAGGCAACTGGACTTTCAGGTTTTTCTTTGAAGACGTTTCGCTTCTCATCCAAAAAGCTTCTTCAGCTCTGACTGGATGGTAGGGAAGGGAAGGAATAGCCAACACTCCAGAAGATAGGCTCAAGATACAGAAGGATCTTGACAGACTTGAACATCGGGCACTATCTAACAAAATGAAATTCAACGGTGAAAAAAGTAAGGTTCTACATTTAGGCAAGAAAAACAAAATGCACAGGTACAGCATATGTGGTACCTTGCTCAATAGTAGTAACTGTGAGAGGGATCTTGGAGTCCTAGTGGACAACCATTTAAATATGAGCCAGCAGTGTGCAGCAGCTGCTAAAAAAGCCAACACAGTTCTAGGCTGCATAAACAGAGGGACAGAATCAAGATCAAATGAAGTGTTCATACCACTTTATAACGCCTTGGTAAGGCCACACTTGGAACACTGTATCCAGTTTTGGTCACCACGATGTAAAAAAGATGTGGAGACTCTAGAAAGAGTGCAGAGAAGAGCCACAAAGATGATTAGGGGACTGGAGGCTAAAACATATGAAGAACAGTTGCAGGAACTGGGTATGTCTAGGTTAATGAAAAAAAGGACTAGGGGAGACATGATAGCAGTGTTTCAATATCTCAGGGGTTGCCACAAAGAAGAAAGAGTCAAGCTATTCTCCAAAGCACCTGAGGGTAGGACAATTAGTCAGTGGAACAACTTGCCTCCAGAAGTTGTAAATACTCCAATTACAATAGTCTTTAAGAAGTATAGGGTTTCCTGCCTAAGCAGAGGGTTGGACTAGAAGACCCCCAAGGTCCCTTCCAACTCTGCTATTCTATTCTATATCATGACTCAAACAGTGATTTATACTCCTTGCAGACAGCTGGTCATTTGCATTATTTTAGTGAGCCGTTAAGGTCACCTAGAGGTTTATCTCTGTCCTCAGGGTCACCTGAGTGGTGCAAATGGGTGTGGAGCCTTCTTGGAACGGTTGAAAGGATTATGTTGTAGACTGGAGATAGATGATGTTGTATCCCACTTCCTTTGTTGAGAAAGGGCTGTTCAATTTTGATACAGATGGCCTCTTTGACCCCTCTTTCAAACCAGCGGTCTCTCTGTCCAAAAGTGCTAAAATCACTGTTTGCCAAAGAGTTCAACCTGCAATACAATACTTCGTTTTACAATATTACTCTATGCTAATGTCTCCTTCACACAAATCCAGTCTTGCAAGAAGAGCAATGACTACACCAGAACCTCTGTTCTCTTTAATACACTTAAAAAGGTAAAGGTAAAGGATCGCCTTGAACATATGTGCTAGTCGTTCCCGATTTTAGGGAGAGGTGCTCATCTCCGTTTCAAAGCCGAAGAGCCAGCGCTGTCCGAAGACTTCTCCGTGGTCATGTGGTGGGCATGACTAAACACCAAAGGCGCACAGAACGCTGTTATCTTCCCACCAAAGGTGGTCTCTATTTTTCTACTTGAATTTTGTATGTGCTTTCGAACTGCTAGGTTGGCAGAAGCTGGGACAAGTAACGGGAGCTCACCCCGTTACGCAGCACTAGGGATTCGAACTGCTGACCTTTTGATCAACAAGCTCAGTGACTTAGCCACTGAGCCACTGTGTCCCTTTAATACACTTATCTCCAACATATCATAAAGAATCACAAAGCTGAATTCATTTCACTTCCTATACAACTTGGAAGGTTCACTTCTTATGTAACTTGGAAGG